TGTCGTACAGGTAGTCAGACAGCCAGTTGAGGAGGGAACCAGCGATGCCGTATGACGCAGCCTTGTCGAGCATGCCTCCGTGCGAAACATTGTCGAATTCGCTTGCTATGTCTACAGCCAGCATACGGACTGCGCTACAACGGTTGACTTCGGAGACCCAGGAGTGGTTGAGAGACGTGAGAAGGTCAGATGTGCTGAGCCCCTGCCGGAATCCGTACTGGTGGATGGACAGGGCTTTTTCATGCTCAAGATGCTTGATTATGGCCATGACTTTGGAGACAACAGATAATGTAATGGGTAGCCGAGTGGTAGGCGCGGTGAAATCAACAGGAATTACTTTTATTCTACTTCTTTCAGGTACACACCTGAGATATAATTATTAGTGAAAGAAGAAGAAGCGGCAAAATAACTGACTTTCTCTCCGGTGCACACCTGGAGGTTGAATAGCACGTTATTATCAAAATCTCATCTTCATCAAAACAGAAATGCGCAGCCGCTTATATGCAGCAGACGCCGTACGCTTACATACGGAGATACACTAAAATATACATCAGGCAAAGCTCCGTATTAGTTCCGTACTGCTTCCGTATTGGTCGGGCAGGGATACTACACTCTCCCTTCCTACAGATAATCACGCCCTCGTGATTTTCAAATAATTAGTGAAGAGTTACGAACACAGCGTCAACCGGAAGATGGCAAATAATATATCGGAAATGATAACGTTTAGAGTAGACAGAAGAAATGAACTGATAACAAATCATAAAGTAGAAGCACACCAGGTTCACACGATCTCACGGGGTCAAAAGCGGAAAGAACTGTCCTCCAAATAGGATCTGAAAATCCACAGCACTCTTGCTGCACAACGCTGGCACAACCCGCCAGGAATATCGCAGTTCAAAAACCGAATTGAATACACTATACCTATAAGGGGCGTTGTCACACACATTGTCCCACGTTAGCTGGGTAAGCCGTGGCTCACCATGATCAGACGCCTACCAAACTAAACTGGATTCACACACTCGCATAAAGGAAGACTGAAAAGAACAGGGAGACTGAAGGAAGAGAGTAAAGAAAATGCCATACCTAGAATCAGCGTTAGTAACCACGGCGGCGGCTGAAGCTACGGCCGAGGGCAAGCCAGGTTTTATCTTCATCTTGGTTGAGCCGGTCACTCAGAGCGGCTAGCTCAGCGTCAGACAAATGAACTCCCTCCTCGTCTTGAATCGTGGTCTTCACATTGTCGATAGCATTGCTTTGCGCGACGTAAAGAGTGATGGTATAGCCAGGAAGAGTGTTGACGAAAATCTGCATCCCACCACGGAGGCGAAGTACCAAATGAAGAGTGGGCTCCTGATTCCGACTGCGTGCCGGCGAAAATCAAACGCTGCTGGTCTTGGGGAATACCCTCCTTGTCTTGGGTACCAGCCTGCCTGTTGTCGTCCTCATCAGCTTCGCCATCACCACCGGTAGTATACATGTAGGTAGCGGGTCGCTTGGAATCGCCATCGGAGTCTCCAGTGTGTGCCGTGCGGAGAGAAGGGTGATCCACGCTAGCACCCTGACTGAGCTGCAGGCTAATAAGCAGTTCCAGGCCGAGGAAGGCAAGAAACATGATTCTCATCTTGATTCGTCGCACGGAGCTGTAGCGGGTTGAGCCATCGGAGTCTGGGGTGGAATCACGTTGTTTTATTTAAAACTACACCGCTGCCACCAATGTAATGGGTAGCCGAGTGGTACGCGCGGTGAAATCAACAAGAATTACTTTTATTCTACTTCTGTCAGGTACACACCTGAGATATAATTATTAGTGAAAGAAGAAGCGGCAAAATAACTGACTTTCTCTCTGGTGCACACCTGGAGGTTGAATAGCTCGTTATTATCAAAATCTCATCTTCATCAAAACAGAAATGCGCAGCCGCTTATATGCAGCAGACGCCGTACGCTTACATACGGAGATACACTAAAATATACATCAGGCAAAGCTCCGTATTAGTTCCGTACTGCTTCCGTATTGGTCGGGCAGGGATACTACAATAACAAGGACACAGGTCGGTAGTTCTTAACAGCAGAGTGAGAATGCTTCTTGTGTATCGGGACCACACGGGCTACTTTCGAGAGAGAGGGCTGGACACGGCACCGAAAACAGAGTGAGGACAGCTTGGCAAGTGGTGCAGCCAACACCTTTGAGCACTGCTTCAGAACTCTGGCAGGGATGCCATCGGGTCCAGTAGCCTTGGCCGGATCCAGCTGGCGGAGCTGGCGCTGGACTGTCGCTTCCCGAAATCGGACGGTTATCATGGCCGATATACACCTAGGAGGAAGGTCAGGAAGGTCGGGGTGCTGTAGATCTTGATCACCAAGACTGCATTTGTTCGCAAAGAATTGTACAAAGCAAATAGCCTTTTCCTGGTTGGTGACATACCAGTTGTTTCGAAACCAGCACCCCTCAATCCAAAGATGCCGCTGTGTTAACTTGTTTGTGTGAGGGACGTGGGTTAATGGGGTACTAGCTGTGCTAGTACTCGTTAGCAACAATCCGAAATAGCGCATACACACCGCTGTATCACTCTGTGCTGCCTTTAAGGTGGCAGACTACCCAAAAATTCGCTGAAAAATCGAATTCGTCAGGCGAAATAGCACGTCATAGTACATTTGAGATCAGCGGGAAGAAGATGGCGACGTCCACTAATTTAGTATCTGAGCACACAAATCTGCTGTGTGTGTGACTCTGTGTGTCAGCTATGATAATCATCTTCTGTGGTTCCATGCCTAGCATGTACGTCTGAACCATCCTGCAAAGTTTGAATGACGTAGGTTGAGCGATCGCTCCGTGCAGAATTATGCTCCAAGTCCAAAAATCAGGTTTTTGAGCCACGTATTGGGCTGCACGACTTTTGCCAGCACCCTCGTGACGTTGCAGATATGTGGCTTGATTATTGTAGTTGACGTTGATTTAGTGACTTTGGCAAGTTTGAGTCGTGTCAAGAAGTCAGGTAGGATTCAGTACTAGGCAGTAGTGAAACGTGAGTGGTAGTCTTTGCCGGTTTCTGAGGGTATCCTGGATTTGGTGTGCAGCGCTGTGGAAAAGGCTTGCTGTGGAGGTCCCAGCACTGGATGTTGTATCAAAGGTACGACCTCGTAGCACGTGCTAAACCTAAAAAATTCAAAAATTGACTTGGGTCTGTGGGAGTGTGTGAGAGAACGCCCACTCGTTCCGTTGTGACAGATTCCAGGGCCTCATTGAGGGGCCCTTCCCCCATCACCCATGGCTGCTTCTGGACTTGTTCTAGGTTTGAGTCCCGCGCACGAACAGAATGAGCACGAAAATGTGAAAAAATTGTAAATGCATTTGTTTGGCTCCTGGGTGGCTCGCACACCGTGGCACTATGCCGGAAATTTGAGTTTTTCCGGCCTGGAAAGCCTGTCAGTGAGGCGCAAGAACTTGTAAATCATGTCCTGAGGGCCAGCATAGTGGCAGGAGTGTGTGGTCAACATTTCACTCAAATCCATTGAGAAACACCAAAGTTACGGTCAATTGAATGCCATATGAAATTTATGGGTAGGCTGCCCCCTTAAGACTGACGTCATGCGCTTTGCTTTGCTGCGTAATCACAAATGGCACCCAGCCCGTTTTTGCTGAAAATAAAAAAAATCTTGCTTGCCCTCTCCAGCCAGCACCTCGTGCTTCCGCAGTGTTGCTTTTCCCACCATCCCTCCCTGTCCAACTTATTCACAGTCATAATCATTATGATTATCGTCCCATTGATCGGGTCCACTCTCACAACTGGTGTTGTCCAGCTATTTGCTGCAGCTCTGACTTGAGCTATATTACATCTACTTAGCATTGCAGCTCTACGTTGAGCTAACAGCAGCTCTACTTTGAGCTAACCTCAGCTCTACTTTGAGTTAACAGCAGCTCTACTTTGAGCAAACCGCAGCTCTAATTTTAGCTAACCGCAGCTCTAATTTGAGCTAACCGCAGCTCTACCGTGAGCTAATAGAGGCTCTACTTTGAGCTAACAGCAGCTCTACATTGAGCTAACAGCAGCTCTACTTTGAGCTAACAGCAGCTACTCTTTGAGATTCAAACCAGTTGTTTCGAAACCAGCACCCCTCAATCCAAAGATACCGCTTTGTTGACTTTTTGTGTGAGGGATGGGGGCAGCCCCATCCCTTATTTTGGGCTTAGCCCAATAATAATCTTCACTAGTCATCACTAGTTTGAGGGAAAGAGACAACGGGAAAAGTCTGAAGAAACAAATGACTGTAACCATCAGGACTCGAACCAGGGACCAATAATAATAATAACTTGTTTTCCTCTTGAATCTTTGTACAACTTTACTGTAGACAAAGTCGAAATTATGTGCCAAATCGCTTGTTCCATCCCGAAAATTGAGGCAGGCTCAACTTTTGCGATGACCCAGTTCCGGGAATTCCCCGGACTGCGAGATGGCTACGATTTGGGGAAGCAATGCTATTGACTGACCATCGATTGGTTACCTCCTGATATTTCACTGAAATTTGAACAAAAGCTTATAAAAATCCCAGCTCATTGCCTGAAAGGCACAAGGTTCAAGTCCTGCTTTGAAGAGGAATGATTTTTTTTCGAACCATGCGGATACCCATAGTGAATTGCGAAATCGTGGCCTCGAACGAAGAAAACATGGATGGGGCAAATGGGAATTCCGCCTTTGGCCTCTGATTGGTGGATCTTATCTATCCTCCCCATGGTTTAGGAGACGCATCTGATGCCTGATCCTGGGGTGGTGGAGTTCCACGGAAACGGAACGGTGGTTTTTTACCCGTCTGAAACGCGCACCGTCCAATTTTTCGTCACTGGCTCGTAAAGCAATGTATTACCAATCCCCTCATGGGTGAATTCAAGGAGCTACGTAAGAATCACACTCTTCCAACAGCGACTAGCTCAAGTTCATCTACTGGATTCAAACTTTGATTTTTGCTCGTTTAAAAGATGTAATTTCAGATAGATAGGTACTTACGTGTGCAGACTGGCATGGCAGATGACCAAGACCCATTTGATAGACATGTTGTGTAACTCATACCACTCAGCTGATAACCTTCCATGCAAGAGAACTGACGTACTGATGACAATGTATTGCCACCACTTGTCACATGACCATTTGTTGGTGCTGACACTGAACCTGTACAGAGGATTTCTGCACAGAAGACAGATATAAAAAAGAAGACAAGAATGTGGGTACCAGCAGTGAAACGAAATCCCTGATCACCGGAATAATTGATTGAAAATCGCTATGTAAAATTCTACCAATGCAGTCATTTTATAGCTTCGCTAGTGGTGAGTTTTTTGTATGCCACCCCCCACCTTTTTTTGGGAGATTGACGGATCCGTGTAAACGGCCGAAAACGAAACAAACGTGACGGAAAACGAGGCCTGCACACCATTTCGACTGTTTACTGTTTACACACTCAAATTTATCCATCAGAACATTTCCGTTCTCAAATTCGTCCGCCTTGGCCAGCGTTTTGGTTTTCTTCCGTTTTGGTGTACAACTTTTACGTTTTGCTCCGCGTACCGTCTAAATAAACCATGGATCCGAAAGGATTTCGTTGTGTAATCGCAAGCGTTGTCGTGTAAACGCAGCCTAAAGTCTAGTTCACATTCGACGCAACGCTGACGGTACGGAACGTAAGGGCAGCGCTCACACTGCGACCATGAGGAAGCGTTTATGCATCAGCAAAACGCAGAAACGTGGCAATCGATTTCACACTAGGCCTCGTTCACGCGTAGACTTGACGTTGTCACACAAACTTTACGAATTGCAGATCGTATCCAAAAGAGTGCGTGCATTTCCTAATAAAGTTGTTGCCCGTTTTGAATGTATTACGATTCGTACAGCACGACATGTTACAGTCGTTGGGTCGTTCAATACCGAACGGCGCCGGTCACGAGGCACGGTCCGTGACAGGATGACTTTTGGACCTAATTTCTTGTTTTTCGAGACTTCTTTTCATTTATTTCTCCTTGAATGGAGCGGAATGAAGTTCACAATACCAGTTTTTCATGAACACTTAAAAAAGTAGCTTCGAAAAGTGTGCTATTCAAATAATGGCACCAGGAAATGATAAAAAAATTCGTCTGTCACGCTCCTGAAGTATCCCTAGAGTCCAATTTACAACTATAGACGCGTAGTGTTTTGCAAAATTCGATGAGATTTATTTAAATTTGTTTAGTTTTTCTCCAGATTCGGTCTCTGCATCGCTTCACAATTCTGGCTATATACTTGGTTTTCGCTACAGTTAAAGTTTATTTTTAGACCAGGTTTTCCGGTTTTACATGTAATTTTGGTTTTGATGGGTTTGACCAGTTTGTTTCGGATGTTTGCTCCTGCTTAGACAGTGCTGCGCCCAGACCATCTTGGGTGCATTTTGTTCGGGTCCTGGTAGCCTCGTGGTTTCGATCCGTGGTTTCCAGTACCAGTGTGGGGCATTCGAATCCCATCACGCCTCCTGCCTTTTTTTCTCTTCTTTTCAAAGGCCTTTGATACAGTGTGGCACCGTGGTTTGTTGGCCAAAATCGCCTTCTTTAACATGGGTGGCAATGTTCTGCGGTGGCTCGAAAGCTACCTATCCTTCCGGGTCCAACAGGTTAGGGTGTCAGGTTTGCTGTCCCAACCGCTCGAAGTCTGTTCCGGTGTGCCACAGGGCTCAATACTTGGTCCTCTTCTCTTCTTGCTCTATGTAAATGACTTAACTCGCGTTCCAAATACCTCCCTGTAGGCCGATGATACTACTCTTGTGGCATCTGAACTTTCCCTGCCCATGGCATAATTCTTTGCAGTCGGAAATTCGCTCATTGGTTTAATGGATGCGTCTCTGGAAACTTCGACCTAATGCTGGAAAGACTCATATCGTGCATTCCACCTCGTCCCCGTTCCGATCTTTCCCACATCGACCAGTACCTATTCCACTTCCCTGACGACCGGACGCCCATCCCAATTGTTAGCCACCACAAACACCTTGGAGTTTTCTTTGACTCAGGCATGAGTCTGTTTGTGTTCTATACAGCCACATTAGCCATTTACCACTAGTCTGTCGTCGGGCTTTCTACGCCTCCTATATCTTACCCATAATTTTATACAGTAGGATTGTGTGGTGCAGTGCTGAAGCAGGAATGCTTGCCTGGCTTGAACTAATGCATCGCAGGATTTTGAGCGATATTTCGCTTCCCACTTGACACCCCATTAACAATTCTGTATTCCCAATGCAAAGTCTGTCCTTTACAAACCATAATTAACAGACTCTGCTGTAGATTTATCCATCAGATTAAACTGCTGAAGGCCCCAATGCATATTCAAAATGCACTTAACGGGTTTAACTCCTCTTCGTCAAGTCGTAATGAACTAAGATTCCCTATTTCAGGAAATAAATCAATGAATTTCTCGCCTGTTTTCATTAGCTATTGTCTCTAGGACTCGCTTTACCAAAAAATGCAATCATGTGAAAACATTTCTGCCTTTGTTCGTGATCTCTCGGACCGTTTCCCATAAACGTTTAAACCTAATAATACAACTTGATTTGCAGCCCAAACTTTTATTTTATTGTTGTTGTTCTGATTTTGCACTTGTTTTTCTTTCTTCTTTTTTTCTTTTTCTGTCTTTTGCCATGGCTGGCTATAATCGCCTTCACCTCCTCCTTGATTGGCCTTGGCCATTAGTGTGTTCGTAATAATACTTCTAAGTAATAATAATAATAAGAAGAAGAAGAAAGGGTTTGCTCCCACACCCTTTCTTACAAATCATCGCCGAAGTCGCAACCACTACTTAATAATAATAATAATAATAATACGTATTCCCATGCAACGACGCAAATCCACACAATTCAGTAGACACTTTTTCTATCAAACGTTTTCTTTCCCTTCTCTTCAGGATAGTACAGGGAATGTTGGAAATTAGAAAAACACATAACTATATAGAGAATGAAAGAAAAAAAAAGTCAACACTTCAACATAGGTGTTAAAAATGATTATAGTGTTAAAAACTCAAAAACAAACAGCTGCAAGTTGTAGACAAACACGTTGAACACATCAGGGAACACTTGTCACACTTCAACGTGTTTGTCTACAACGCGTGTTTGTCTACGAGGTCAACGTGTTTGTCTACAACTTGCAGCTGTTTGTTTTTGAGTTTTAACACTATAATCATTTTTAACACCTATGTTGAAGTGTTGACTTTTTCTTTCTTTCACTCTCTATATAGTTATGTGTTTTTCTAATTTCCAACATTCCCTGTACTATCCTTTTAATGCGCCGTTAGTGGCAGAGCAGAGTGGACACGAAGAGTCGGTGAAGAAAGAAGGAGAGATGACAAGACGAGTCGGTGAAGAAGGAAGGAGAAAAGCAAGACACATCTGCAACATCTTTGTTTGATCAAACTGAGCTGAGCTGCTGATACGAAGCGTCGACCAAGCATCCCTGACTGGAGTGAATGCCCCAGCTGGCCTCTCGTTTGTCAGTGGTTGCTACTAGACCTGTTAGTATCACACTCACGACTACAAGTTTCCTGGTGTGCATCGACATCGGCATCAGTGGGGCCTCCTGCTGTCGATCCTGTTGACGGGCGGACAGGTCGGTGTGAATCCTGAACGGCAACCGAGCCTGTCGCGTTGGGGGATCTCGGCGGTGAGTCTCGCCTCGCCTGCATACATGGACATTGCAACATCATAATAATAAACAACATACATGTACTTTCCATTGGCATCAGTATTCCGCGTAAGATTTTCGTCGCCTGTGTGGTGTGTTTCTCCACCAATGAGCGCGGCCTATGATTATTTATCGCTGTTCTCACACTTTACCATTTTAGCAGCTTGCATATGCCATTGATATATGTGGAAAGCGCGCACTTGCGCCATTTCTGGTGTATAAGACTGATCATTTCTCCATTATCATCATTATCATCCTCTACTGATGAGCTCCGACAGGGAGCGAAACAGCTGTCTAGAGGCGTGGAGCAATATTATCTCTCAACGGAAGTGTCCTTGCTGGTGTATGTATGGTTCGGCTGAAGAGCGCGTGGTTGTGATGAGTTGGGAATGCAATGAATATCCTGAAGAGAAGGGAAAGAAAACGTTTGATAGAAAAAGTGTCTACTGAATTGTGTGGATTTGCGTCGTTGCATGCGAATACGTATTACGAAACTGTTTTTCCCACCGCCTCCAAACTACTGTTTGAATAATAATAATAATATTAATAATTTGGAAAGGATTGGGAGAACTTCAAATTCAAAGGATCAGTCGGGGAAGTGAACTGCCTGAAAAGAGAAAAAAACGCCAGACCCACCAGGACTCGAACCTGGGACCCCGCTTGTCATGAGCAATGCTCTAACCACTGAGCTATGGGACCAGGCTGAACCTAGAAGGCGCTGACAAGTTTTTCACTCCAAAGGCAGCTCACAACACGTGCCACACATATGCCATCAGTATGTGTGGCACGTGTTGTGAGCTGCCTTTGGAGTGAAAAACTTGTCAGCGCCTTCTAGGTTCAGCCTGGTCCCATAGCTCAGTGGTTAGAGCATTGCTCATGACAAGCGGGGTCCCAGGTTCGAGTCCTGGTGGGTCTGGCGTTTTTTTTCTCTTTTCAGGCAGTTCACTTCCCCGACTGATCCTTTGAATATTAATAATAATAATTTTATTAGTGCAATTAGGAGTATAATCGATGCAGACATGGCCAGACAACAACGAGTTCATGGAATTTTTAAGGATTTTTTATGTTATTCAAAATCGATTTTCGTGTTCCTTTTGATAAAAATCCTTAAAAATTCCATGAACTCGTTGTTGTCTGGCCATGTCTGCATCGATTATACTCCTAATTGCACTAATAATAATAATAATAATAGGTAAACTGTTTCCTCTGAGACAAAAATGCGATAATACTCATAAAAAGGACACACTTCAGGCTCATTACAAACATCTTGAAAGTTTTTGTCTTCACAAGTATACTTTCAAGCCTTCTCATCAGGTGAAATACAGGCAAGGGAAAAGGAACAGGAACAGTGGATTAAATACAGTAAGAAGGTGGTAAAACAGCGCCAAAAAGAAAGAAAGAAAGAAAGAAGATAGCTAAAGTAAACAGCGAAAATTGCAATAATGACACAAAGGTGCAAATGCGAGAAAACTCAATAAGCGCGACATGACTCGTTAGTTACATGTATGTCCAGTGGTTGTCTCTTGTTGTCGCACTACATGTCGCGCTTATTGAGTTTTCTCGCATTTGCACCTTTGTGTCATTATTGCAATTTTCGCTGTTTACTTTAGCTATCTTCTTTCTTTCTTTCTTTCTTTTTGCGCTGTTTTACCACCTTCTTACTGTATTTAATCCACTGTTCCTGTTCCTTTTCCCTTGCCTGTATTTCACCTGATGAGAAGGCTTAAAGTATACTTGTGAAGACAAAAACTTTCAAGATGTTTGTAATGAGCCTGAAGTGTGTCCTTTTTATGAGTATAATAATAATAATAATAATAATAATCTCTGCATGTTTTGGATCTTGTTGGGTGAAATACAGTAGTTGATATGATTTGAGCCTTCCTGTTCCCTTTTCTTTTTCACAGTTGTAATTTGTTTCTCACGAAAAAATCCGTGAAACAACGACACCTCAGAACACTTCGTGAAGTCGTCCAGCTCCACCTTTGGCCGGCCTGTTTTGGTAGGAGACTCGAAAGAAATAATGAACACGACTAACCATATCTTTCTCGGCATCACTGAGATTCTTACGAGCCGTGGAAGCAATTACATTCAGGCACTCAGAAAATGCAAACAAGAGGAATATTTATTTGAGACTTTCATTTCTGTTGAGACTTTCCTCACACCTTTTCATTTGCGACTTTGCGTGTTTTGCATCTTTTGTAATTCCCGCGGCGACGAAGAAAAACCTGAAAAACACATCTGAAAACCAGAAGACACTCATGCAAAACTCACAGCTGTCGTGCGCTACAGTACGTACGACTCGAACATATGAGTTCACGCGTCTATAGTTTGGAAATGGACTGTAAATACCATACGTCAAATCAGACCTTATCTTAAACTCAAGTCATGTCAGCCATTTTGCGAGTTTTCATGGGAAGCGCAGTGGTCGAAGTGCTAAAAATTTCGAAGTACGAATCGGTAGTAGTCGGCGCACGACGCCATCTCCTGTTCACACTCAAAATGCAGCTATTCTGTACGCTTGGGTTCCTGTGAGGCCTTTCCCAAATCGGCCGACCGAACGAGAAAGAAGGTGGGTGTGTATGTTTCCAATCTTTATTCTCACAATGGCCTGTGGTCAATAAGAGATACATGTATTAATAGTGTGATTTAATTAACATGGAGGGTTTGGAATGGAATGAGTCTTGTTGTTGTAGTCGTCGTCGTCGTCGTCGTCGTCGTCGTCGTCGCCGTCGTCGTCGTCCTCGTCGTCGTCGCCCTTGCCCTCGTCGTCGTCGTCGTCGCCGCCGCCGCCGCGCTCCGCCACCGCCACCACCGCCGTCGTCTTCGTCGTCGTCGTCGTCGTTGTTGTTCGTCGGTCCTATTCCGTGCTTCAGATGAAGTATTGAGTCACTCACTCAATGACCAAGTCAGTCTTCAGGAGGCTCGACGTCCGACATTCGGAGAAGACAATTTCTTCATTAGTAAGAGCGTTGCCGAAAATTAAGTGCGTTGGGTATACAATTGGACACATTGGGGGGCTGTTGTCGGCCAGCCTAAAGCTGGTATCGCAAGAAGCATTAAATTGTTTCAATTTTGATGACGCAGGAAATGGCGTAGATGTTTGAGCAAAGATTGCCTGAACTGAAAGTACTTTGTCAATATACTGGTGGCGGTGACGTGAACGTTACTCTTTGGACTTCTTTCCCTTTTCACCCTCATTTGCAGCGTACATGACTGTAGTGTGAACAACCTCTATCATTTCACTTACCTGAGCACGTAGGTGATGGACTGGACCATTGTCCACTGACAGTACATGAAGTATAGGAATGACCAACAAGCTTGTAGCCTGTGTGGCAGGAGAATGTAGCAATGTCGTATTCTTTGTGTGACGAGTAACTAACATTGCCGTTTGAAGGCGCGTATGGAGAGAGACAAGCCACCCCTGAGACAGTAGGTTGAAATAGGAAGATAGAAACACGTCAAAATCCAAGCCGATTTGGGGGTATATGGTAGGAAATGGAGAAATGAATTCTTTTTGCAAATTCATTTCCCTAAAGCGGACGTTCCCTTTTTACCCCAACCTTGATGTTTAATTTGTTTGAGGAAATAACGAACACTAAGCACATTACTGGAACAATTACAACTTGCCACAATAATTATAACTTGCTGGCATCCTGTATTGTTGTTTCACAATTCCGTTTTGAGAAAGATTTTCCTTCATCAATTCAATACCAAACCCAGTTCACTAGAAACTCTTAATCCAAATGTACATTTACCGGCAATTGTCGTGGGGTTGAGAATTATGTACTCGTCTCAATGCAGTGACTCATAGCTTACAAAATAATTCTCGTCGGAATACACTCCTGCGAGCTTAAAGGGAAAGTCAAGGCAAAAATTAAAATTTCACCAGTTGTAGTCTTCGGGGTTCTGAGTCGAATGGTCTTGGTCCAAGAAAGCTGAGACGCTCCCTTCCTACTTGAATCCCAATTGAACTCGGCGACATTCCACCGAAACTGGGTGACTGCGCCGTACTAGATGGGGATTTGTATGCAAAATGTCACTAAAAGCGCTATTTCGTTCTTATAAAAGCACGGATGACCGCGATTGGTCCATATGTTGTAGTCTTTTGGACGCTGAGTCGACTGGTTTTGGTCCGAAAAGGCTGCGATGCAGCGTTCCTTTATTCCCAATCCAACATGGTTGAACAAGCGGTCACGTGCTCCTGTGTACACCAGTCACCTGGTCACCGCGCCTGCAGGGTCCAACTTACTAGCCTGTTTGACCTTTTTTGGGTGCAGTCCTGTTACTCGAGTTGAACCTTGGTGTGAAAGTTGTCGCCTGCTGGCGCTGTGACTAGGTGATTTTGTTTATCCCACGCGTACCAGGTCCAATTGTAGCGTTCTGCTAGGTTGCCTTTCCAGGGGGACTCCACTGCTTGGACGACATCTGCCATAGAAAAAATTTCGGAGGCTCGGAATTTCTGCTTCAAACAGCCGAACTTGGCGTCGACACTACATCTAGTTTGACCAACTCGCATGAAATAAATTTGAATGCTGGTATTTAGGCCTGATAGCACACGCCAGCTGAAGTATGCCATGACTGATCGGTTCTTGTTCTGCCCAACGCAGTTATCAGCAGGAAACATCAAGGATGGCTCCTTGGAACGCTTCTCCAAATAATGGTGAAGCATGCTGATAACTGCGTTGGGACCATGAGGAAGCCATCCATCACAGTCAATGCTCTCTGCTTCATTGAACAAGTAATCTACTTGCTGATTGCGTGCCTCATCACAAATTCCAAATAGTTGTATCTTAAATCTGGACTTGAAATACAATGGGCCCATCTGGCGAGTGTGCTTAGGTAGCTCAAGCTGTTGGGCGAAGTCGAAAGTGGTGTGGGTAGAAGATGCCTGTGTATCTGTATCCGTTGTTTGGCTTTAATAGCTCATCCCTGGCATCACTAGTTGATTTGTTGTAGTACTGCCGTTATTCATCAGCCTCCTGCATGTGAGCTGAAAGTAGCTCCATAGCCAGGTGGGTGGTCTCCTCTGTCTTTGCATGCCTGACATTCTCACGCAGCTCCTCACAGCGTGCGCAAACATCAGATCTCTGCTTCATGATGCATATATCTGGGGTATAAGCTTTCCAAAGCCGTTTGAACGTGGTCAGACTTAGGTATTTGAATGTATTGGAGTAGATCTGCATCTTTACCACCGATCTTATGCAGGCAGAAATTTGTTTACATTGAAATTGTTTGTGAATTCTGATCAGCAGTTCTCGCTTCTTTTTGGATTGTAAGGTTACTTTCTGGTTGTGAATTTATCTCATTCGTTGTCACCTGTTATCATTGATTGGTGTAATTTTCTTTCAGCTCTCATTGCTCGCGCCAGATAGGGTCTAAATTACTACTTGCATTGTGCGTATATATATTCTATTGAGTTTGGAATTAGTTTTGATTCGGCGGTAATCCTATCTGAGGTGATGGCCAGAAAACGTTCAAGGACCAAGCTTTTATACATGAAAACAAGTTTTGCTAATGGTGTTCGTACTGAGTGCGCAGCTTACTCTATTTATTGCGTTAATTTCGTTTCTATCTCAACGTAAGCGTTTTAATAACAGTTAGGTAGTACATTTGTGGATTCGTCAAGCAAATAAACTCACGTAAGCATATCGGTATCTTTGTGCTTTCAGTGGCATTCGTACATGCAACCCGAGGTTCACCGATTAACTTGTACCCTGAGTTGCAACTCGCGGTAAATACTGGTGCATTTCCAGAAAGCGTTCCACGAGGAATTGTAAGGGATGATTGGCAATCGTAAGCTGTAGTGAAGGTGGAGAAGACAAAAGGCAATGTGTAGCCTTAGCTACACCCCTACAGTATAGCATCCCTTCCGCAGTGACCAAACCTTTGTGTACCCTACCATGTCACTTGATGAGAATCTAGACTTAGCCCTTGTGAGATTCAAAGACCTAATTGACCTGGGTGAGCGGAAATCAGTAGACCAACCCTAAACCTGTTCTCGCCCAGAACTCGTTAAAGAACTCTGGAACATGGGTGTAGGAGTGCTGCCGGAGTCAGCAAGTCCAAACAGTACGTTGGAACAATAGTATAATGTGTTTCAACCTTGTCCATGGAGATTATCATCATGAGAGAAGAAAGGGACTGCAAAATGTTGGAAATCCAAGAGCTGATGCCCGAACACCTAGAGCTTCGTCCACAGCGGTCTTCTGTACAGTCAACTTCGCCAATAACGACATTCGGCGGGGCATCAGAAAAGTGTCCTTATTCGCGAAGTGTCCTTATAACCGAAGTCCCATTTGAATGTATGTGAACCCATATTTTGTATAGTATGACACGCATATCAAAATCAAGCTCTTTTCTTGCTCTATGTCAATGTGTACTTTATTTTCATATTGCAGTTGAAAGGAACTAAAAATTCAATATGCAAGGGAAATAAATTGAAAAATATGCCTTTTTGAGCCATCTACCATGATCTACAGGGCCAGGGCCTAGGGACAATGATGTACATGTACATGTATGATGATTACTGTACAATCATGTACTAGTACAACTACATGTAAATGCATGGTAGAATCCAACACTGGTAAACCAGCATTAGATAAACCTTGTTGTAGTTCACGCAATTGTTAGATTGACAGCATGAAACAAGGTGGAGGACACTCTGTGTTCGAAAACAGTGACCTTACTACAACCTCCCGGCGCGGTTGGCAGAGCCCCAGTCCCTGCGGTACCCATATGGTTCAAATGGTCCGCAGGGACCGGGGCTCTGCCAAGTGCCAACCGCGGAAGGTTGTAGTAAGGTCACTGTTTTCGAACACAGTGTCATCCACCTTGTTTCATGCTGTCAATCTAACAATGTACATGCATGTACATGTACATGTAGGTGTGCTGGTAAATTCAACACTTTTGAAGCAAAATAAAAAAGGAAGAAAAAGCCCCCCCCCCCCCCCCTTGGCTGCATTTTCTTTTCTTTATCCATCACCATAGTATACAGGTTCTGGACTTCTGGTACTTCTGCATGACAGATACATGTACCTTTACATGTACCGGTACTTGACTGACAGGTACTTGAAATAGCTGTCAAAAGCCCAGAAAGTCGTTATTCAAGCAGTGAATATGACCTCGGGGCACTAAAAGCATGTCGCTATTCGCGAATTGTCGTTATTCAGATAGTCGTTATATCCGAAGTTGAATGTATACAGTTAGATGGGACTTTGCTCCGGGCATGGAAATTCGGTCGTTATTCGCAAATTGTCGTTATATCCGCAGTCGTTATTGGCGAAGTTGACTGTACCTGCACCTTTATCACACCACACCGTACACACGTACACATACCAACAAAACGGGGTCCGGGACCTCCAGCTGCGAAGTCCTACAGGGATACTGCACGCACCCCTCAAGCTGCAACAACACAAGGTTTTGAAAAGGTTTGAAAGTACACTTGTGAAACCGAAAACTTTTAGGATGTCGTAAAATGCCTGAAGAGTGTCCCTTTTCTGAGTACTATCGCATTCTTGTCTTTATCTCTACGTATGTCTACTCTAATGTCAAGCTCACCTTTACACTCAGCAGGACCAATACCGCGCCAATCCCATGAGCCTTCCGGCAAACAGTTACCTACACGATTTCCCATAGCGCCCAAGTAGTATCCAGATTCGCAATCATAGACAACTTGCGATGGGAAAGTTGTACCTGATGGATATATAACCACTGCATTATTCAAGGTCACTGACCTGTTGCAACTCCGTTGGCCGAAAGCTACACATTCAGTGGAAACACAGACACGGACTCCGATGTTAACACTACAGACTGAGATAAATCAAGAAGTAAATCTCTTTCCGAAGAGCAAGACCAAAAGTGATCCAGTGCGCTAACATTACATTGCAATACCCATCACACACTTTGATATTCCCAAATGAAGATCACTTATAGTGAACTTGTTCTTTCCTGTGTCAGAGTATTTTGTCCGCACCCAGAAGTGTTTGCATGGGTCCAGTTGTTTTTACACTTCTGAAGCAGTAGTCTTCGCGAGCCGTGTCTCCAAAGTGCTCGTTTGCAGCCACCTCCAGCCCAGGCTTCACAAGCAACTGAGTTTTACTTTCATTGATAATCTATCCATAATCTTCACCATGTTTTTTCAAACTATCGTACCACACGCGGAGCGGACCAAACTTCCCCGCTGCGGCAGAGTCGTCCGCATACCATCCTTGGCAGACTCTATCTGCAGAAGCAAGCAACGAGTTGACCAAAGTGTCAATGCAACAGCGTATATTGCCATTCATAAAGGATCACCCTGTGTGGCTCCCTCACGAGACCGGATGCTTCCACCTCCAGATACATGCAACGTTGCTGGAGACTGGTAAGTATTTGTAGTTATTTGAGATAGTGGAGGGCACACCCTGGCATTGTTGTGAAGGGCGGGGCATCGATTGAGGCTATTGAATGCATTCTGGGCATCCACCAACAACAAAGCCTCCGTTTCGTCATGCTGAAAAGCAATTTCCATTGCCTGGTGCATCGACTCAAGACGCGTGTGTTCCTAGTTGGAACAATCAACTTCATGACTATTATCGCCGAAGTCGCAACTTCTAAGTTCGTAAATTTAGTTATATGTACATAATATACAGATTAGACACCCTTAGCAAAAAACGTTATATTGTAACGGTATTATGGTAAGGGGGAAAATACCGTGATTTGGGTTCGACCTTTACCAAGATGCACGCTATTTTTAGTACGCGGTTGCCACGAGAATAGCTTTGATTTCGCGCGGTACAAACATTTTTGTCACCATATACGCGATACAAGGTGAAATGCGTACGGACTATGCAATATTATGCCAAAACACGTACCGTTGGTCACAACGATAAATCAGCCCCCATAACGTTTATACGCTGCAGCTTCAACGCTATTTGGCTGATCAAGGTACGAGTACCGTAAAAAATAGCGTTACCGTTGTTTGCTAAGGGTGTCTATTGAGTAAATATACCGGTATGTAGAGCCGAAGAATATATTGCAATTACATACAAGTATAAGTACCGGCATAAAAACCGAGGTCCCCGTAGGCATGTGCGGGTAATGCTAGCGTCATGGCTGGCATTACAGTCCCTTTTTTCCAGGTGGCATAATGCTGGCATTATAACACCATCTCGCATGCAAAATTGGCATTACAAGCATAATTGCCGCTCGACAACGGTGTCATGCATGACGCTGGCTAGGTCCAGTTCCGAAATTCGTGCATCTAAACCCATCCGGCTTCCTCCGGAGTAGGCCTCGACCAAATATGCTAAAAAGGAGCATATGAGCCGCGCCAAGCTAAAAAGTGGCTTAGTGTTTTGCCAACAAATCGAGAAAATCACCAAAACGTAACAGTCGGCAAAATTCTACTCGAGCGCAGTCGCGAAAATATTCACTTTCGAGCATCCTTTCAAGTCAAAATAATAGTTTGCAAGTGGAGAAGAAGGAAGAGACCTTTGAGCAACAATTCTTCAGTGTTCGCTCTTTCATCGTTGTGGGGATTTCTCGGCGCTGCCAGAGATCGTGGAGCGTTCTGGAGAATGTGGAGGCGAGCAGGATGACACTCTGTCTCCTTTAGCGCCCAACCCTAGTTGACGAGGAAAAATCGATCATTCATAGTGGCTGTGGTTCTCATCGTGGCCACGACTAGTCTAGAGCGGCTGGTATACCTATGTGGAGACGTCTACAAGCCGTCCGGCCATCACTCGGACAAGCTCTCTAGTGAGTTGGATCTTGCTGCGATGTTTCACTTCGTTTCGGGTACCTTCAAATGTTCATGACGACTCACAAAATCATTGAAGGATATGAAAATTCGTGTTGCGTGATGAAATGACATGAGATGCATAGATCAATTATTTCTTCTTTCTTGGATTTTCTAATCAGAACACAAGTGCTCGTTCTTCTTGTATTGCTTCCATACCTGCTAAGCTTTGTCTCCACTTGGTGTCCCATGTTTTCTGGAGTAGGTCTTCATAATTATTATCTTAGTTTCACTGATACCATGCATGCTGTGACATGTGCGCAATGTATGCTCATTTATGGCACATATACATTTCAGATGGGCACCAAAATTTCCTTGATGGTAGTTGGATAGGTAGACATCACTTAGGCATGAAAAAAGAAATTTCAAAAATTTATGCCTAAGCCACCTTTTTGCTTGGCTCGGCTCATATTATGCTCGTCGCATATCAGGGAAAACGTCCATAATAATGCCAAAGGCTTAGCAAGATATGCAAAAAGATATTTATTTTATTTATATATTTATTTTATTCCAAGCAATATATGGCTGGGGTAGCCAATGACCACTTTGCGTGGCGATTGCAGGGTTTTTATAGCCAACCATGGCTAACATGGAAAAGAGTAAGAAGTCAAAAAGAAAAGGAAAAGAAGAAAGAAGCAAATATGGACTAGAATTGTGGTCTACTGGTAAAGCAAAGCGTTCCTGAATGCTGTTAAAGTAGAAAGGCCCTTTGTCTCCTGGTGCAGCTAAAGCCAATGCAAATAGCCATTGAAAAGGGGGGAGTGTAGCAGTAGTAGGTGCGGGGCAGGTTCTGGGCCACTTTTTGACCTTTGACCTTTGGGCCAAATAAGGCACACTGTGTCGCTCGTGCTTGGTCTGGCCCCGGGACTCCCCCCAGGGTTCGACCTTTGGCCCTATCATGCCATAAATGTCGTCATGTTCTTTTCCGTGGCGACCGTGCACTTGTGCACGTTCGGTGCATTCGCACCAGGGAGTAGTAAAATACGTACTACTCCCTGATTTGCACATCGTAGATGTGCAGTGACATATTGCGCATGCGCGCATAAGCACGCGGAGCGTGCGACCTTCAGTGGCCCTGGGGAAAAGACGCAGTGCAACAGAAGGTGGACTAGTACACGTGTCGTTATACTGTGTGATAGCCGACCTCATATACGCTGTACGGGGAGATTTTTCCTCAGTATGTTGTAGGCAGTGCTGGAGGTGACGTGACGATGGCGGAGCCAAGTGCAAAACGATCCAGGCAGCCCAGACAGCCCACCTCGAGTGCCGTGCGTGGTTTTTGAAAAAGTTTTCTTTGCCAGGTTCAGGCACTGATCCTCTCGTCTTTTTCAGCAGCCATCATGACGAGCTCCGACAGGTTCTGCTCGAGGAGCTTCAGTCTCACCCGTTCAAGGTGGTTTTAGTTTTGAGGGTGGAGATGACACGCGAGTCGGCCACAGGTAGTATGTCTGCCTTCCCGTTTTTTAGAAGTAGACCGGCTCGGATCCTCAGCGAAGGGGATATTGATAGTGCAGTCAAGACGATGGTGGCGAGGATCACTGGTCTTATTGATAAGTGGGTGCAGAACGGATCCGACTGGACCGTTTCTCGAGTGAGACAGCTGGATGTGTCGACAGCAAAGTACACTCCTCTTCGAGGTGAATTTCTGTTCATCCGGCAGTGTTTGTTCGAAGCCTGTCGAATTTCTTGTGGAAAGTTGTAGATGTATGTTTTGTACCATATGTACAGTTTTTCGTGATTGTCGAGAGGGTGTAGTTGTGATGTGGTGTTACTCTGAGCAAAGCCTTCGTTGTATTTTTGTGGTGTACTGTAGGTGGTGCAGCTGCTATCCCGCCGAAATTAGAAAAAAAGAAGGCCATCATTAACGTAAAGAACAACGATGACAGGTGTTTGATGTGGGCGTTGTTGTCAGCGCTGCACCCCGTCGAGCAGCATGCTGAGCGTGCATCCAAGTACACCCAGTATGTGGAGGAGCTGCGGTTCGACGGTGTAATGTTCCCTGCAACGCTCCGTGATGTATCCAAAGTGGAGATACAGAATGGTCTTGCAATCAATGTGTTTGGGTACGAGGGGAATCTGTACCCACTCTATCTCAACGAGCGACAGGAGACTCCCATCAACCTCCTTCTTCATGACAACCACTTCACATGGATAAAAAACTTCAGTCGTGCATGTGAGAATAAGAACAGACACGCAACACACTACTGCTTGTGATGCCTCTCCGCACACAAAACAGCAGACTCCCTGCAGCATCACAGCGAGAGATGTCAGGTGATGAAGCCCGTGCCAGTCGTCATGCCCACAGCAAAGGACAGCATCCTCAAATATACAAATTTGAAGCACAGGATGGTGGCTCCATATATCATTTACGCTGATACGGAGGCCATCATTGAGTCGATGGAGGAACAGCATGGCAGCAGCACTGTATGCATAGCACGTCACGTGCCATGCAGCATCAGGTATGTTTGTTTTTGACTAATGTTTGCTGTACTCGGGCCTACACAGTGCTTGCTGTTATTCCTTCTTGTCTTGTTCTCCCCTAATTGTGTTCGTGTTGTAGTATGTGCATTTTGTGTGATTCCATTCTTTCAAAAATCACTTATTCTTACTTTCCTTCTTTTATGCTCTTGTAGATATGCTGCCATCCGATCCAACGGTGAAGTCCGGGGCGAGTTTGACGACTGCAGTGAGAATGCCATTCACAACTTTTTCGACAGTCTCAAAGAGTTGGAAGGTAGTATCCAGGAGGATTTGGCTGATATCAAGCCAATCCGCATGACAGCAGAACTGGAGCTTGAGTTTCAGAACGCAGTCAACTGCTGGATATGTGACGAAGTACTTGGAGAAGATTGTGTTCGTGATCATGATCATCTCACTGGTAAGTATTATAATTTTTTGTTTATTTTTGTTGTTTTGCAGTTGTGTGTAGATATGCGCATGATGTGTATAGTGCATTTTCATGTCTTTGTAGCTGTTTGCATCTGTGTTTTATCACGGTGTATTGAATTGTATTGTCTGTGGTATCACCTTCACTGTAGATGTTTACTATGTTTGTGTATTCCCCTCTTTCTGAATATCTGCACAGGCAACTACCGTGGCGCTTGCACACTACCAGTGTAATATTCAGCTGAGTATCTACCAGATCGCCAGATCTTTCCGGTTGTGTTTCACAACCTGAAAGGGACGATGCTCACCAAATCACCGCCCACATTGGTATGACCGAGGTTGAAGAGGGTGAGTACGAGGACTCTAACCAGCGTAAGCGGATTAAGAAGGCTGGTGAGAATCAGTGTCATCGCCAACAACAGAGAAAATATATTTCATTCAAGTGGCGTCAGTACCGCTTCATCGACTCCATGGCTCCTTGATCTCCTCTGGACTCGTTGGTGAGCAACACCCGGAAGATGCCTTCAAGCTTACTCGTACATTGGCCCATCATGACCTTCTCCTGCGTAAGGGTGTCTACCCCTACGAGTACATGGACTCCTTTGCTCGGTTTGATGAGACACAGCTGCCACCTAAATCAGCATTTGAGTCTAGTTTGACTGGAGAAGGTATCAGTGATGCTGACTATGCTCATGCTCAGAACGTATGGCAGGTAAGCAGCTTGTGCCTTCTGTATTGGCCCTCAGAATTTCCCTGATGCCATGCTTTTTGCATTATGCTCTACTTATGACTTTGTATGCTGTTGTGATGTGCCCTACACATTTTTTTGTACTCATTGCTCTCTATCTGTGGATGCTTGTGTGCATGTGTGTATGGATGCTTGCGTGTGTGTGTGTGCGTTGTTGTTTTGTTTTTCGTTTTGCAGACATTTGAGTGCAGTACAATGGAGGCCTATCATGACCTCTATTTGCAAACAGATGTCTATCTTCTAGCAGATGTCTTTGAGCATTTCCGCAAGACGGCATACAAGACGTATGGCTTGGATCCAGCTCATTACCTTACTCTCCCAGGTATGTTCATCAGTCTTTGTTGTTGTCCAATGTATTCTCTCCTTTAGATGGTGTTCTCTGTTAGTATTCTTGTGCTTTCTTGTCGGTGTATTTATATACTTTTTGCATGGTGTATTGACTTTCGTGTTTGTGTTCTGGTGTGTTGTATGGTGTTATGTAGGATATGCATGGGATGCTCTACTACGGTTCACCCAGATTGAACTGCAGCTGCTCACGGATGTAGACATGCATCTGTTTGTCGAAGCCGGTCTACGTGGGGGCGTCTCAATGGCGTCGCAGCGGTACGGCAAGGCCAACAACCCAACGATGGATCAGTACAATCCTGCCGAGCCCACATCATACCTGCTATACCTTGATGCCAACAACCTGTATGGCTGGGCTATGTGCCAGAGTATGCCGACATCTGAGTTTGCCTGGTGTGACAAGAACCTGTCCGAGATACTGGCACACCCTGTAGATTCGAGCACTGGGTTCATTGTGGAGTGTGATCTTGAGGTACCCTCTTCGCTACACCACTACTTCAATGATTATCCACTCGCACCGGAAGTGATGAGAACATTCTCAGATAAGCTATCACCATACCAACAAGCACTTGTGGAGGAGCTCAAAGTGTCAGCCGTAGATGGAGTCAAGTTGACACCCAGTCTCCTACCCAAGTCCAAGTATGTGTTACACTACCGTACACTGCAGCTGTATTCGCGTCTGGGCATGGTGGTGACCGCTGTTCACCAGGTGTTGGGATTTCAGCAGAGTGCCTGGATGGCTCCCTACATCAATCTGAACACTGCACTTCGCACGAGGGCTACAACCGACTTTGAGAAGAGCTTTTACAAGGTAAATGCAACCGTTGTGTGCAGTCTTGTATGTTGTTGTTGTTGTTGTATTTTTTGTTGTTGCATGTATGGTGCAAGTGTGACGTGGAGTATGCTAATTGAAAAATATGCTGATGTGAAGGAATGGCATGATATGATTCTCATGTGTCATGTTTGCCTGTTTGTGTGCTGCAGCTGATGAACAACTCAGTCTTTGGCAAGACGATGGAGAACGTTCGTAATCGAACACGCATCGATCTCTTGCGAGAAGAAAGTGAGGAGCAGGTACTGAGGGCAGTGAGCAAGCCTACATATGTGCGGCATGACATTTCCCGAACGGGCTTGTCGGAATAGAAAAGCAGTACACTGAGATCAAGCTCAACAAGCCGGTCTATGTGGGTATGTCGATACTAGACCTGTCAAAGGTACACATGTACTCATTCTACTACGATGTGCTGAAGGAGCAGTACGGTAGCAGAAGTCCGGCTGTTGTACACCGACACCGACTCTGTTTATTGATTGTGCACATAACCACCGGTGATGTCTATGCAGAGATGGATCTGTCTCTGTATGACACCAGCAACTTTCCCACTGACCATCCTCAGTACACTTCTGCCAATAAGAAAGTGGTTGGCAAATTCAAAGATGAGCTTGGTGGGAAATCCATGGTGGAGTTTGTAGGTCTAAGATCGAAGATGTACTCCTACATCGGGCAGGAATCGGCCAAACGGGCCAAGGGTGTTAGGAAGGCAGTCCTGGCAAATACCATCACCCACAAGGACTATGTAGATGCACTGCTCAGTCATCGTGTGTCTGCCAGGCCTATGACGGGTCTCCGATCACATTGCCACACAGTGTATGAGGAGGTAACCACCAAGGTGGCATTGTCTCCATTCGACTGCAAGCGGTATATACTGGATGATGGCATGGCCACACTTGCATATGGTCACAAGGACATTTAATGGGCAGGATCCCACATTGAACATGTTTCATCATTTTCATGCAAAACTCCCCGCCATTCTTCTGTCTAATATTCCTCCTTTCTTGACGTGTGGAGCTGGCTCCAACACTCTACATTTTTGTTAAATATTTCAAGCTTGTGCCTCAATTATATTGCAGGATATAGTGCATTGTGCGGTATAATAATCTTCATCGCATCATAAAATATTACCCTACATACTTTGGTTTGCAGTGTGTGCGCAGCATAGTCCATATATCATCAAATTGATCAAGTTCAGTGTCTGCGGGCATATATTTCCCCAGCTTGAGAAAATGCTTATATACTTGCGTAAATTTATGCTCGCAATGATGACATAAAAATGAGATTAAAGTCCATATGATGGCCAGTATGAATGTAGTTATGATGCTTGTTCTTTCGGCTGGTGAGGTTTGAGTGGATTTCTCTGCCACCACATTGCTGGCTCCGAACAGCACTGGTGCAAGCAGGAGTAGTTGTTGAGTAAAGTTTAACTTTATTCAAACGCCCCTTCACTTTCTCATAGGCTTCGCTGTTGCTCGCAGTTGATGGCTCGGCTGATGGGGTGGCATTGCTTGAGGAGACCATCTTGATCTTACTGTACCGGGAATTTTTTCTCACATCCATTCAACCATTAGTATGAGAAAAATTATGGCCAAAAAGGCTGAACGGGGATGAGTCCATACTGAGCGATTTGACCAGTTGAAGTCGTGTGTAAGGGTGTTTTCAAAACTTTGCCAACCTCCTTTTTCCGCCAACCAGGGCGAAACATTGGTGGTCATGTAATCTAAGTGCCAGGTCATGACATGATGTACATAGTGCAATCCCAGTTCCGTTGAATTCTCCATACAGATGTTCGCTAACTCGCTGCTGAATAAGTACAGAGCCACAATTTTAACATGGCTGATACCGTTTTTAAATAGTTCTTTTGCAAATGTAAGAAATTGCGTACGACCCGTTCTGGAGTTGAAACACAGTTGCTGCATCAGCACCTGAAATCTCGATCCACTGCACCTGACTAAGCGACACACTCGTACCAAAACTCTAGAAAGCCGAGATGGTTTCGACTCCGGCGACGATACACATTGTGGTAGGTCTACATGACCTTGTTCTGCCAGTCGATCAGCAATAACAGCAGAAAGCAGATTTCTTGCAGTAGTCTGCATTGTGCACTGCATCATCGTTTCCCTCTACTACTATCCTTGGAAATATACCTCATTTCTTTCTGCGATACCCATTGGTTGAACTTTTCGGGGTATCCCTTCCACTTGACCAGCAAACTACCCTTACGTCTTTTCAACACCTTATCGATTCGAAATGTAGCTTGCTCAGTCTTCATGAGCTGCTGTTTGTAGAAGCTTCCTGTGATGGGTTCATCGGCAAGGTCTTTCACTTTGTAGGTGACCGGATAAGTGGGGAGAACCTTACGAATCAAAAATACCTCTTCGGTCCAGTTGGGTGTGTATCCCTTCGCAAACATTCTTTTTTCCACTGTAATGCGAACTTTATCTCCGACTTGAAAGACAGGCTCATCCGCAATGGGCTCATACAGTTGCTCAATCGGTTTCCCTAGGGAGGCTTCCATGGGGGTCATCCCAATTGTACGGTGTTTACTATTGTTGTAGTTGTCTACAAGTTTTTGCAGCACGTCGATGTAGACGTTGGTCGAGCGAGCGGTGAAGTGCTTCCACATACGAGATTTTAGCGTTCTGTTGAAATGTTCAACGACGACGGCTTTTCCTTCATTCTCTGTACTGTACATGTGAATGTCGTTTTTCTTCAACCACTCCTTGAACGTTTTGTTATAAAATTCCGAGCCATGGTCCACCCATAGTAGCTTAGGTTTCCGATTGGTTGTGATGGTTTTAAAGGCTGAGACAACACTATCCCCGGTTTCGCTCTTAAGTGGCACACTCCAAGCATACTTGGTGTATATGTCTATGACATTGAGAATATATCTAATTCCTTCGTTATATTCGCTAAAGGGCTGCATTTCTACGAGATCAGCACTCCATACATCGTCCTTGCCGTAAACGTCCACTTTTCTGCGTGGGAAATGTACTCGCTTAGGTTTATGTAGCTCATCGGCAAGATCATCTTGCCAATCCCCACCAACCATGACTTGATCGTTGTGAAGGGTATCGTGAGAGAACGTACAGGAGAGGAATTCCAATACTCCGTCTATACCAGTCTTTGAGAAGACTTTCGCTACCAGGATGGCATAACGTCCGCAGACCGCTGTGCTTTCTATCTTGAATGACTTGCGTATTGGTGTACAGGTTACAGCCGGTATAAACATTAAGAAAACATTGTTTTAGCTCCGGTTCTTTATAGTCTTCGGCCATCTGCATCAATGCACGCCCAAAGCTGTCAAATATCAGAACATTATCGCCTTCCCTACACACCGTCAGCCAATGGTGTCCCCCTTCGGGTTTGTCCAGTATCGGGAGTATGTTGTCCGTGTTACACACACAAAACTCGCCATGGTTTAAGGCGGGCAGGAGATCGTAGCTAGTCACACCTCGGAACCCGCGAATGTGTTTCAGTGCAGACTCGATGTCCACGTTGCTCAGCTCCACATCCATACCTAGTATACCAGGGATTTTCCTTTCAGAATAGCAAGTGTTCGGTAATAGGGACTCCTTGCATTGCTAGCCACTTGCCGATTCTTGAAGACACTTTTGATAAAGGTGGCATCATCAGCCATGTACTCTTTGAGACCTAACATAAATTGTTCTGCGTTGATAAGTTTTGCTTCTTTGGTTCGAGTGTAGGCGTTGATCATATCTCCTATACCGGAATATTTGTCTGCGGATCCTGGTATGGCTAGAAGCTGAGTTCTTATTGCAGCCAATTTCACATTACTCCTCGAGTGGTTTGGAAGCGCATTAAGGTTGGCTGCTGCTGCAATCTGCTGGAATGGATAACGCGACAGGTGAAACTGATTGATTTGGTTGACCAGAGTAGCATAGTCTTTGAGGATTTGAAATTCGAGGTTATCTCTAGTGTTTTCCATTCTACCTCTGAGCCCCTGCTCATCCTCCTGATAGACTTGGTGTAGTTGCGGCCTTGCACTGAAGTGGCTGCTTTGCAGAAAGGCTTCCGGTACTTTATGGTCTACTAGGAGTTTACCAAATGTATTTATCACTATTCTATCAAACTTTGGCTCCAGAGCGGTTTGCAGTGGGATACTAGCGGCAGAGATGTTTCTCCTCATTCTAGCCTCTGCTATGGACCCTCTTGCCATTCCAGAACTCTGATCATAATCGAGGAGATTCGATGCAACAGCATTAGTAACCGAGGATGGGTTTATCAGATCAGGATTGTTCTTAAATGTTCTATCATACATAGCCTTTACTCGAGGGTTTGATTTCATTTGGGAGATAGGAAATGGACGATCTTCTTCGGGGATATAGGCCAGTGCTTCTCTCACTTGCCCGGAAAATTTCTTATAATCTCCACCTCGTACTGGAGGAGTACCTTGAACCTCCCACATGGTGTCACCTTTACTCAGGATATCCTGGGGGTTTTGTAATATCATCTTCATGGTCTCGTCTCTCTTCTCTGGTGGTATTGGGTGAGTACGGCCGTTGCACTCGATGCAGATAGGTTGGAAGTGCACCCGTATTCGCTCCATTTCTGTACAACGGGCTTAATCAATCTCATCCACTCCTACCCCCCGTGCTTCACAGCCAGCAATCCACTCAAAACTATCAACTTCGGATTCGATTTGGACAATTAGTTTTACTCTAGGGAATGTGACCTCCCAGGTGTCTCCAATCTTAGTGACGGTAACCGCATCCCACTCACTGTGGGTGGGTATAATGCGAACACTGACACCATCCATACTTACTATAGGCAGAAAATATTTTATTCAAACACAACCTTCGATGTTATGGAATCACAGTGAGTATAAAACTCATTGCGTGATGCATCGACCGCTAGAAAGGGTCTCCAACAAGCTTCTAATAGTTTTTCATAGAGTTTATGGACAAGATTAGCTTTCAAACAGGATCCGCCAAATAAAGTATGAAGATAGCGTTTGATGTTGGATTTATCTGTAAAGCGAAAAAGATAGAGGAAGTTTGTATTTATCTTCATATCTTTGATGTTATCAAAGCTTTGAGAGAGAAAGAACACATTAAGTTCATAATGATGGCTATACATGGTGAAAAACTTGTAAAGACATTCCCTCTGACTGCCATGCTTCAGTCCCATGACACGTATATCATCTATAATGACAAAGGACTTGGGCTGAATGTCCGTCTCTTCGATACACTCAGGCATTGTACTGTAATGTTTCAACTCCGTGCCTTCCTGCCTGTATTGCTCCGGTGAAGTATTGGAGATGACGTAAAGTCATAAAGGCTTTACCTCT